ATTCAGGTTAAAAATAACAGATACTGAATTAAATTTATCTACTTCAGTTTGCTCCAAATCAGAAATATCTCAAAATGAATCTGATTGTAAGTTTTGACGAATTTGTTGTAACGGTTTAATACCATACAATTTATTAATGATTGTTTCTCAGTTTTCTTCTCTATGATTTAGTAAGTTACATGAATTTTTTTGAGTGTTAATTTTTAAATGGTTGTCATCATTATCTTAAATTCAGTCAATGAAACGCGATTTGGAAACTGGTAAATGTGGACATCGGTTCAAGTTGTCATACATCATTAAAACAATGAGATGAAATTGTCAGAGTAAATCCCAGAATAGTTGATATAGTAACAGTTTAAATGGTAATAGAGAAGATTAGGCATAAAAAAAATACAATTCGACAGAATACATTATTAGTGAAATGAGAAGAGAGTATGCGGAATTTAGAAACTTTGGATCTTAGGGCAAGACAAAGAGTCAATGCGCCTTGGCTTTTGGGGACGATTTTAAGCCATTTAACCTATAAAAAAAGTAGTCTCCAATTATTAGTTACAATACTCGCATGAATTCCAATCAGATATTTTGAACCTAATCCATAGGCAGTACATCCATAGAACAACAGATATAAGCGAACAACTGTGTTGTTTTCGACTAGATCGCTATCAGGCTCTACTCTCTAACATACATGAGTATTTATATATGAAAATGTTAAACCGATCAAGGCAATTTGAGTGATAATCACAACGAAATGAAATATATTAGTTCACTAAACACATAATAGGCAAAAGTACAAGTTGATAGTAGGAAGACAGGAATATAAAATACGATGATAAAAGTTTTTCCCATTTTTTGAAACCACGAATCGATCAATGTTAGACCACCATTAGAAACCTGGAAGCACTGGACGGCCGTTTCGTCCTAGTATGGGACTCCTCAGCAGTGCGCATCCACGACTCCTGCACCCCACAGGATTCGAACCCAGGACCTTCGGTAATGTGCGCGAACGCCCTAACCGTCAGACCACTGAGTCGGTACCTAACGGTGTTAAGTGATAAAAGTTTTATCAATAGTAGGTCAAACGTGGATAAACAGACTTAAAATAATCACTACAAAACATAAAACCATTACGTAATAAGAAGTGTGAACATACGGGAAGAGGCAGAAAATTACCAACAAATACATGATGTGAAAATAATGTTAATAATAACAAAATAAAATTAGAAAAGAAAATTTTTAAAAACTTTGGTTAAGTCATATCCAGCCATGGTAAAGACAGGAGTGTCACGAATTTCTTCTGAACACATAAAATGGGGTTGAATGTACGAATTCCTATGGTTTCTGTTATGTGTAGGAGACGGGATCAAACTCCGTTGGGAAATGATGGAGGTAAACGATAGATCACTCGAAACGATCCATATTTATCTACAATATGACCACTGTCAACCAGATGTGCCGAGATAGAACTGTGTATTGTTTTTAACTGGCCCTTCATAACATCCATAGACTGATTCTATGTCTTAGTTTGACCATTTTTAACTTTATAAAATCATCTCCAATTATATTTTCACTCATAATATGTCATTGGGAAAAGCTTTTCTCTTTCATCAATCACAAGTGACCAGTTTATGGTATATTCAAAAATTGTTTACAAATTATTGAAAACATCCAAGTGTTAACCTTTTATAATAAATAAAAAAGAACTAGCTTGAATAGTGTTATATGTTAGATCCCCCAAACTCACTTAATAAATGCCTTATTTTGGATTTCACGTATGCGTGCATGGGCTGATCAGTTGATCTTGAGATTTCATTTCCCACCATCCATGGCTGTGATTGGCTGCTGTGTATTTTAGTGTGCTGTTTTCGTAACTGTCCCAAGGACGTTTCTATGATGTATAAATAAACGAGAGTTGTATGCTTGACTGTACTGTGATTGCTGGGTGTTTGTAGAATATACTTTCTATGCTTACCAAGACTTCTGTTTCACAGTTTGGGATTCAAGGTAGCCTATCTGGACGCTGGTAATTGTCTCGTTCGCGTTTATCGACTAAGGTGAACTCGTAATAGCTTCAAGTGTACCTAGTGACGAACATAACAACTAGTTCAATGTAAATTGTACCAAGTATTTGTAGCTATTTTCAAGCTGCTGTCAAAGATAGATAGGATATAGGTGTATGATTACTTAAACTGTTTTACTTCAAGTCATTTTTGTATTCTACGGATGAAATCAGTCCTTCCTGAACATGACCGAACAGACTTAATACACTACTAAGAAACGAATTTGTACTAATAATACACAAATCAATAGAAATCTGAGTGTTATCACTAAGCTGCATCATATAAGAAGTCAACATCTGAGCTGTTCCTGAGAAAGATCACTATTTAGGAAAAGTGCTACTATATCCATTTTGAAACAGGTTAAAATTATGATAAATAGGTGAGAAATTAGTTTGTACACCAATTAGTTCAACAACAGGTTGTTCTAACTACAGTAGAATGAATTAAAATTGAAACGTAAACAATTCAACCTTATTGACCGATAACCTAATTCAATTTTTGTTAATTCCTTTACTAAATATAGCTTTACACAATTATTATCAAATCGCACCATACCGTCTTGGTTGTATTACTTTTAGACTAATTTACTCTCATTGATGCTTTGTCATCTCTTATTACTGTCACCTCTAATGGAGCATAGGCTGCCGACCAGTGAATTGTCTTTAATGGTTAGCGCTTTTTTAACGGATTAGATTCCTTCAGGTTGGGGTCACTAACCCTACGCCTAACCCTTCTTCTTTATCCGGGCTTCAGAACCCGACAGTAACACCAGGAGAGCTCCAGGCGGAGTTGTATTTTCCCATACATTATTAAAATTTATTGTTTGCACTCAAAGTAATAGGTTGATATAACATTATTGCATGTAAATAACATTGATTTACTGATGGTATATATTTTTTTAATTACAGATACGACTGAAACATCTTCAGATATAAAGTATCCAGTGGACTCTTCGTTGTCGCCTGATTTATCTGAAATAAGGTATCCATTTTTTCATGTTTTATCATACCTTTTTTCAAATTCCAATTTAGAATTGTTTAGAGGATTCATTATGTTTCACAATTGGTTATATTCACATTTATCCTCGGAATCAATCATCCTCAACACTTACAATAAGGTTGTTGAATATGCACATCGTACCTACTAGTTCTTTCGACCATTTTTTTCTCGCATTCATTTAACGAATGGTTAGCAAATATGTGAGTGAAATTTAATATGAAATATTTCAGTTTGATTAGATAGAGATGTCCTCCTCAATTATCTGTTACGTCCGATATACGTTAGCTTGATTTAACGAAAAAGTTACAGTCTAAAATGATGTGTTTAATAAAAAATTACTAACTAATGTACATCATTCACCCACTAAATTAGCTGGAAATTCACCGAAAGTAGCGGGCACAACACACTTATTGAAAATTGGAAACATTGTGCACAACAACTTCAGCCATTAAAAAAACATTCTGACAAGTAGAAATAATCTGTTAGGTATGTTAGATCCCTAGAACTCGTTTGACAAATGTCTTAATTCTCGATTTTATTCATTGTCTGATCAGTTGACCTTGAGATCACATTTGCCACCAGCTAAAATCCTTGGGTTGTGATTGGTTACTGTGTCATTTTAGTGTGCTATTTTTGTGACTCTCCCAAGAACTTCTCTATAGCGTATAAATAAACGCGATTTGAGTACTTGGATTCATTGTGTTCTGTCTGAGTGTTTTAGAATACACTTTCTACGCTATATCAAGACTTCTTGTCAGTACATTGGGTCAACGGATCAGAGTAGCCTACCCGGACACGGTTCATTGTCTCGTTCTCGTTTATCGACTAAGGTGAAGCCGTAATAGTTTCAAGCATAGCAAGTGACGACCTTAACATAATCCATCGGTCAGTCGGCTACAACATAGAAATTCGTACGTGCGTACATCAGTTCAAGTTATTATACCACCTTAGCACAGAGAAATGGAATTGCCAAATCGAATCCCGTAGCAGTATTATCGGTAATAATAAAGTTTAGGAGTCAAAGATTATTATTCGAGAAGTATAATCCAGTAAAATAAATTTACAAAACAGTCATGAAGAATTTAGGAGATTAGAATTTGACAGAGAACAACGGATGGCTGCACCTGTGCCATTGCAAACTATTTTGAGCCATGTCATTCAAGGTCTCTAACCATCGGTTACTATTGTCTCGCGGACCCCAACCAGGTAGTCTACATCTACCAACATAACTCAGTCCACTTTTCAGTGACTTCATGGATTTGCGCCATGTTTTGGTTTGGCCGCTCCTATGTTTATTCCAGCCAACGTCAGACAATATTGCTGGTCATGGCAGTCAGTAGTTGGGCTTACGTAATACCTGTCTCCACCACATCAACTGATTAAGATTCACTGCTTCATCAATTGATTTGCCATCCTTCCTTAGTACCCTTTTTTAACACTAGCATTACTTACTCGATACTTCAAAGACACCTATGATCGGATATCAGCAACCTACGATTATGCCCGACCGTAGCTGCTACCTTGACGTGGTGGTCGGGCTTGCCTATCGTGATGACCCAACCGAGCTATACTGGTTGGAACACATGTTCCTGCAGGTCCTACCATGCCAGGCAGGTCGATTGGAGAACGATGAGACTAAAAGCAGCTACCCAAGGTCTGAGGGCGAAGTCGTACTGCTGACTGTGATGGAGGGGTGTGACAGCAGTAAGGTGTTTCCCTCGGACAACCAGCATCTGCAGCGATGCTGCCTTCTCACAAGGAAGGAAGGGTTAGAAAAGGTCGGCCCTAAAAATGTCACACCTCCCCTAACTCACGGATTTCCGTCTCCTTGGGTAAGGGTGCCCACTAAGGGCCTTTAAGAACGGAGCTAATCCTCAAACAACGTTTCGTAAAAAGGCCGTGCGTGACCGGCCTCAAGCAGTTGTCCCTTGGGCTCTGCGGTCACGCACCAACACTAATCCGTCTTCCTTTTCAGGTCCCTCAAGAAACAACCTTCCACGGTGTGGGCAGCCGAGAAGTGATAACCGCCCTCATACCCGTAACAGCACGCGAGACCAAATTGGTCAAAATCAAATCCTTCCTACACCCCCTAGTACCTCTCTTATCTCCACGACTAACTCTTCTCACATTCATTCATCACAATGCACAGCTAATGCAGACGATACGAGTTCGCGAAACGTCGTTCCTGGTCTCCTTAAACCTCGCTCCAGACTACATGTTGGAGCATTTAATGTACGGACATTGTGTCAAATAGGGCAACAGGCTTCCTTAGCTAGGACTTTAGAAACTCGTGCCATCGATGTATGCTGCGTCTCGGAAACGCGCATACAGGATTCTAGTAAAATTATTAATCTGATTTCACCTTGTCAAAAAGAAGCAGCTCGATTTACTCTTCGTGTATCCGGTAGCCCTGATGCTGCTTCCCGGGGTCTTGCTGGCGTAGGCATAGCATTGAGTCCTAGGGCAGAACAATCTCTCCTTGACTGGATCCCAATAGATAGTCGATTGTGCGCTGTCCGACTAAACGGGACAGTAAGGACTCGGAAAGATAGGGACAATCGCCGTTGCCTCTTCATCGTATCTGCCTAGTCAGATATTTATTAGGAAACGAGTACTAGGTAAGAATGGCAGATCAATAGATGAAGTAATGAAACTTCATCAGTTGAGGTGGTTGGGACACGTGTTGCGTATGCCCAACCACCGACTGCCTCGTCGAGCTTTGTTTTGTAGTGTAAGAATAGGTTGGAAGAAAGCTAGGGGCGGCCAGACCAAAACATGGCATAAATCCATGAAGTCATTGACGAGTGGACTTAGCCATGTCGGTAATTGTCGACTACCTGGTTGGGGTCCGCGAGATGATAATAATCGATGGCTAGAGACCTTGAATGACACGGCTCAAAATCGTTCGCAATGGCGCCAGTGCACTTATTCTTTGTGTTCTCTCAAATCCTAATCTTCTGAGTTCTTCAACATCTCTAGTTTTTAGTTTCTAAACTTATCTCATTGAATCATACTTCGTGAATAATATCTTCTAATTCTAACCTCTCCGATTACTTCTAGTACCTTTACTACCTCTTCTACTATTGGATTTGAATTGACAATTATATCTCTGTGCTGATGTGGTATGGCGACATGAACTGATGTACTTACGTACGAAGTTCTACGTTGCAACTGACTGACTGACCTACGATTATGTCTCACACACCCTACGTTGTATGATCCTATATAAATCGATTCTTCTGCAAGGGAAACAACTTTTACAAGTTAATCCAAGTTTAAATGATGACAAAAGCATAAATTGGCTAAACATTTAAACAATACTACTGTCTGTTCAAAATGATGATATATATTTGTTTGTCGTTTCTAATGTATGTGAAGAAAAATGTAACATTTATCTTGAATAATTCATTCTGTACACACATGTACAATACTGATTTTGGACAAGTTAAAATGTGTGATTATTTTTGGAAAAATTGTCTGAATTGATTTGATTTACTGTGTTTCTTTTGTGTACAGTAAAATTTAATATTATATTGAATGTGTTCGTTATACACTGACAAGAATCTATCCAGTAGATAAACATTCACACTTACCTACACCTGACTGTATATGCATTAGTCCAGTGGAAATACGATGACACAGTCCTACTTGGTGAAGACGCTGACAAAATGCAGAGTCTTCTGACCACCATAAGCAACAATGCAAGCATGTTCAGGATGCGGTTTTCCCCCTCGAAATGCAAAATGTTGCTTCAAGATTGGGTTGCATCGGCACCTGAACTAGTGATAGGGAGTGAAGTAGTCAAGCGTTTTGACCGCTTCACTTATCTCAGGAGTCTCATCAGTGCCGATGGCCTGGTGACTGACGAAATCTCATCTCGGATACAGAAGGCTCGATTGGCTTTTGCCGACCTGCGTCACCTATGACGCAGGCAAGATATCCGTTTTCTGACTAAAGGACGAGTGTACTGTGCAGTAGTTCGCTCCGTTCTCCTATATGGCTGTGAAACATGGCCAGTGAGACTAGAAGATATTCGTAGGTTACTTGTTTTCGATCATAGGTGTCTTCGAAGCATTGCTCGTATATCGTGGGACATCCGAGTGAGCAACGCTGTGCTAGGTAAGGATGGCAGATCAACAGATGAAGTATTGAAACTTCATCAGTTGAGGTGGTTGGGACACGTGTTGCGTATGCCTAACCACCGACTGCCTCGAAGAGCTTTGTTTTTTAGTGTAAGAATAGGTTGGAAGAAAGCTAGGGGCGGCCAGACCAAAACATGGCAGAAATCCATGAAGTCATTGACAAGTGGATTGAGCCATGTCGGTAATTGTCGACTACCTGGTTGGGGTGCGCGAGATGATAATAATCGATGGTTAGAGACCTTGAATGACATGGCTCAAAATCGTTTTCTTTGTGTTCTCTCAAATCCTAATCTCCTGGATTCTTCAACACCTCTAGTTTTCACTTTCTAAACTTATCTCACTGAATCATACTTCTTGAACAATATCTTCTAGTCCTGAACTCTCCGTTTACTTCTAATACCTTTACTACCTCTTCTACTGTTGGATTTGAATTGACAATTATATCTCTGTGCTGATGTGGTATGGCGACATGAACTGATGTACTTACGTACGAAGTTCTACGTTGCATGTTACATACAAAATTCCAACAACTTTATCAACATTCAGTCAAGTAACAATGTTCCGAAACGCTCAATCGTGTAATTACCTACTACTTTGTAGTTGATATCTCAGTTTGTGAAGCTAGATGATACAAGTTCAAATCTTACATGAAGAATTAGTTACACTAATATTCCCTGACTAGTACCATACAACACAGTGTATGTCTTAGAGTTTCCTGCTTACTTCTACTAGCCCACCTAACAAAATAACCTCAGTACTTTGGAGTTCATACAAAATACATTCGTAGCTTTGTATAACTACAATTGGTCATACACATTTTTTTTCTGTTTTATTTATTATAGTTCATATGGATTACAGTTTACATATGTGGATGAACATAATAATCCAGTTCAGTTTCAACAAAACGCACATCATCGTCAGTATAATATAGATGGAGTAGAAAATTTATCTGGTTATCGTATTCGTTGTAGTTATGAAGATTTAATTACTTCTGGTGTATCCTATCGTATAGATTGGAGTAGTTCAGGGTAAATGTGTTTTTTTTTTCGTTATTAAATAACAGTTCGAAATTGATCATCATAGTTACACTGATGCATTCATTTTTCATCTCTTGATATTACTTATTTCATTATCTTATTCAATCCTGTTATAAACTCTATATTCGGTATCATTGTTTTGGCTTTTGCCAACATGCGTCACTTATGGCGCAGACCAGATATCCGCTTGTTAACCAAAGGACGAGTGTACTGCGCAGCAGTTCGATCTGTCCTACGATACGGATGCGAAACATGGCCGTTAAGAGTAGAGGACATTCGTAGGTTACTAGTCTTTGATCATAGGTGTATCCAAAGAATTGCTCGTGTATCATGGGACAACCGAGTGAGCAATGCTGTCGTTAGGAAACGAATTCTAGGTAAGGATGGCAAATCAATAGATGAAGCATTGAAACTTCATCAGTTGAGGTGGTTGGGACGTATGTTACGAATGTCTAACCACCGACTACCGCGACGAGCTATGTTTTGTGGTGTAGGAGTAGATTGGAAGAAAGCTAGGGGCGGCCAGACCAAAACATGGCAGAAATCCATGAAGTCACTGACGAGTGGACTGAGTCATGTTGGTAGATGTAGACTACCTGGTTGGGGTCCGCGAGATGAAAGTCGTCAATGGTCAGAGACCTTGAACGACATGGCTCAGAATCGTTTGCAATGGCACAGGTGCATCCGCTCTTTGTGTGCTTTTAAACTCTAACCTTCTGAATTCCTCATCATCTCTATCTTCCTCCTTCTAAATTTATCTCACTGAATTATACTTTTCGAATCATATCTTTGCTCCCTTATCTACTCCATTGCTGCTAATACTTCTACTATCGCTATCACTCTTGGAATTAAACTGATAGTTGCCTCTCTGTGCTGATGTGGTATGCCAACCTGAACTGATGCACATACGTACGAAGTTCTACGTTGTATCTGTCTGTCTGTCTGTCTGTATCATTGTTGACAATGCTGTTTATTTGTCAGATTAGCATTTTTTCGCTATGTAGAGACATTGTTCTCATTCCTGGTCATACGAATCATTTTATCTTTTTCTCTTAATCTGTACTCCTAAATTTTTTAAGCATTGTTGAACAAAAAAAATGAACGATACGAAATAAGCCCTTAGCCGTCTAATGTATAATCATATTGGTTATTTGTATCCATTCTTATGAGTAGTTGTAGTCATTTTTTTTTCAGGACTTGTATATGTACTATCAATAAGAATAAACTGACGAACATTAGTTGATAGTATTATGTTTAAAACCATAGTTCTGTCTAAGTAATTACACTCTCTATCTTATATCATTGTTTTCGAATAGATCGTCATCAGGCTCTACTCTCTAATATACATAAATATTTATATATGAAAATGTTAAACCAATCAAGGCAACTTGAGTGATAATCACAATGAAATGAAATAGAGATTACGTCACTACATATAATAGGCAAAAGTACAAGTGGATAGTAGGAAGACAGGTGAACTGATAGTAGTAAGAAAATTATAAAATATGATAACTAAAGTTTTGCAATGTGTAGGAGACGGGATCGAACTCCGTTGGGAAATGATGGAGGTATAAGATAGATCACCCGAAAAGATCTAGATTTTATCAATAGTAGGTCAAACGTGGATGAACAGACTTCAAATAATCCAAAATTCAAAACAGTGGTTCCCTTTGATAAATTTGAACAGAGAAATGAGAAGACATATTTTGTGAGATAGTACCATTTCGTGCTTTCTCGTCATCAAAAACAGGTGTGCTAAGATTGCGTATTGTTTTTGACTGACCCTTCGTAAACCATGCTGAGAGATGTTCACTCATTCGTTGGTTAAGTTGCCTGGTAGTACGCCTATCTTCCTACTATTCACTTGTACTTTTGCCTATTATATGTAGTGACGTAATCTCTATTTCATTTCATTGTGATGATTATTGACTCAAATTGCCTTAATTGGTTTAACATTTTCATATAAATGCTTATGTTTATTAGAGAGTAGAGCCTGATGACGATCTAATCGAAAACAATATTGTTCGGTTATATGTGTTGTTCTAATTTTCACAATGGGAATCTTTAATATTGTACCATTGTATAGACAAAAAACTTTCAGATCTTTCGATAATTAAGCGACAGTTTTTTTTTAATTCTGAATTGAATTCTACAACTTTTAATCGATTTCTTCTGAGTTATTTTTACTTGTAGCATTTATTTTCAAGTGTGTTTTTTTAAAAGCAATAAAATGTAAAATCCTAACATTTAACCTTATTCGTACACAAAAAATTCTCATGGAGAATGAACTCAAGGCACTGTGTATGTGTCTATGTGTGTTGATACAGTAAACAAACATTTTATAAATTCGATACTTATGGTATTCGTGTCTATAAATCATGTTCACTAGACTGACTTGTTAAATGTCGTGTATATTCAGTTTTAATGACCTTTTTGTTGTCATGACTAAACGGTCAACACACTAAGGTTTCAATCAGTACACTGTAGGTTAATGCTACACACTTAATCTACTTCTAGTTTAGACAGGTGAAATTTTGTCACTTGCTTTCATATATGTAAAGTATAATTGAAAACTGTTTGATTTAATGCTTCTAGCCTAACTGTTTTGTCAAAATCATATCATCATCTAAAAGTCTCACTATTTTCTTTTACAAGAGTAATAATTATAGATGAAATCCAACTTTTTTATATCCTAGGTAACTGACTATTCATTGAATTATTACATAATCTTGTAATCTTGTTTATATATTTTAGGAAGTTTTGAATTTTTGTAGTATTCTTTTACTTACTTACTTACTTACTTACGCCTGTTACCCTTAGTGGAGCATAGGCCACTGACCAGCATTCTACAACGTACTCTGTCCCGGACCTTACTTTCTAGTTCTGTCTAGTTTTTGTTCATGCTTCTCATGTCTGTCTTCGTTTCTCGAATTAATGTGTTCCTTGGCCTATTTCTTTTCATTTAACCTTGAGGATTCCATGTGAAGGGTTGTCTTGTCAATCAGTTGGGTGTTTCCCGCAATTCGCATCCAATCTACTTCCAGCACTTCTTCCTGATTTCTTCCTTCGCTGAGATATGGTTCGGTCTTTCCCTCAGTAGGTTGTTTCTGATAGTGTCTGACCAACGGATCCGAAGTATTTTACGTAGACATCTGTTACTCAACACTCGTATCTTCTAGATGATAGCTTGCGTAGTTCTCAAAGTTCCCTCCCCATACGGTAGAACTGCGTTGACATTTGTATTAAAAATTTTGACTGGAGTTTTTTGATAGTTGTTTTGAGTGGTGAATGCTTTGGCGACCCTCGCTTTTAAATTTGTTTTAGCGATACATAATCGCATTTTGTTCTTTTCTATTTTCATTCCCTTTTGCCTCTCTGGAACAGATTGACAGGAAATGATATAACATACACGTATGCTTACCTCCTTGATCCTAATGCGCCTAAATTGTGTACAAATCCTATCGCAAGTATAAATTCTATCGATACAACCAGTCATAGTGTTCATACAACAAGTACGGGTAGTACTACTACTACTACCTCGTCTTCTACTACTTTCACCTTTAAGCCCATATCAAAAGTTGATAGTGCAACTAATCTAGAGACTGGGATGAAACGATGTAAATCTCAAGGTAACTGATCCTTTCTCTTGTTTATTGGATTTATTATTTTGAGAAAATTATCATTTTTTTCTCATTGATACGTTTATGTACATAGTGATTCATGTAACTTTTAAATAAAATTAGTCTCTAATAGAGATAAAACCTATAGATTGAATCAACCGCCACAAAATTTCTTCAAGTACACCATCATAGCCACTTCATTAGCAACTTACTTCAGAATATCAATGAAATTTTTGTGAGTAGTTATGACTAGTATAGTTCAAGTTTGTTCAAAGTAAAACAGTTATCACCGATGACATTGGATGATTGTTGCGCTACATGACGAATTAATTGAAGTTACAATTGTATCATTGGATTCCAATCCAATGACTCGGATGATTAGGCGTTTGTCGTGACACCTGAGTGCTCTGGGTTCGATCCTTATTGAGAAAATAAGTGTGCACTGCTACCAAATTCAGTGTTGGGATCAAATGGTTTTCCAGTTGTACACCAACTAAGACCAGTCTGTGACCAATTAAACACGCGTTCATTTTGTAGGATTTAATTTGTCCTACAGATGTAATTCTAGAACGGTAAACGCAATATTGGCGAGCACAGAGTCTATGGGAAAGCTATAGTTAGAATAAGACTAATTTTGCTTTAAACTTTATCTGTTTCTAAACATAAAAACAATTAGATTAGTACAATAAATAAAGGAAATTACAATTATCAAGTAAGACGAGCAAACGTACCGACAAATATAGCGTGTCTTATGAAAATGAGTAAAGTTATGAGTCACATCAATATAATAAGATAATAATATCAATCAATTTGTAGGTCATTCACAACAAAGAAGGTTTACAGACACGTCAGATCAGATCACGTGGTGGACGCTTAAACCACAGTTTGTTTGTTTAGTTATGACATAACTACAATTGGTTCTGGAAATAACTAACACTCCCCCCCCCCGAAGAGGTCACCACGTCTAGGCTCCGTTGCCGTCGCACTCGAATAATCGACCTCTTACAGTAGGCATAGGTTTCGTATATCTCGGTTGATCTCTACGGTGTCTGTCTTCAATCGAATCGTTCTGACTCAGCCATCTTTAGCACAATTGACCTGTCTAACTATAGCTTTCCCATAGACTCTGTGTTCGCCAATATTGCGTTTACCGTTCTAGAATTACACACATTTCCATCATTGTCTCCATCTAATATCAGTAATCGTCAAATTTAAGAAGCATTCAAATACTATTCGATTAATTAATCGTATGATTATTGGTGGTGACAAACTTAAAAATGTAGTTTCCAGTGTATTAGCACGAAGTGTTGACCTGTTGAATCACTCTGGTAAAAAGAAATATGCAACTTGATTACTTACGGTATTGAATAAAAGTCGTGATTTATTTTAAAATAATTTCAAGTTTAAAAATGTACACTATCAAATAGTAAGCCATTGACTAAGCGATATAGTATTGCTTTGTAAGATCTGGATGTTCTGGGTTTTGTTTTATGTAGGGTCATGCATGATAGTCAAGTGGACTGAATCATGTCTGTAGGTGTCGACTACCTGGTTGGGGTCAGCGAGACGATGGTTAGAGACCTTGAACGACATGGCTCAAAATAGTTTGCAATAGCTCAGATACATCCAATCTTTGTGTCCTCTCAAATTCTAATCTTCAAAATTCCTCATCACCTATATCTTTCTCTTTCTAAAACTATCTCACTGAATTATACTTATTGAATAATTTCTTTGGACCATAATCTTCTCCATTATCACTATTATTTCTACTATCTCTCTACCAATATGGGATTTGAATTGACAATTGCGTCTCTGTGCTAACCTGGTATGGAAACCTAAACTTATGTACTTACGTACCAAGTTCTACATTGTAACTGACTGATTGACATGCATGACAGTGCACATTGTTGAGTAGCCGTAAACTAAGACAATGAAGCACTTATTTCATGGTTCATTCGTTCTTAATTCTTGATTTTCTCTATATTTCCGACTATAATCACGATGTCATGAATTCTGTAACTGAATGCATCCGTTGAAACAGACTGCTTTATTCACGCCTTTCCACTTTTCTCTTGATTCCTATAGTACCCAGTTGACGAATATGACTGACCATTTAAAATATCACTCTATTGAAAGCCTATCTACCTTTGCTTTCATAGGTAACAACATTTCGGTCTCTCTATTAAATTGAGCATGATCCTTCTTTAAGTGATCAGTTATATTACTTATCATTCAACATATTTTAATTTTTTCTAACAATCATTTTTAAAATAGACGCTAATAATTCAAGTAATTATTATATTTCTAGAATCTGTTTCATCTAATTGTCTGACAAATAAATCAAGTCGAAACTGTACAAATTCTATAATTCCTGAATCAACAATTCAACCAAAATCTCCTACTAAATCACATTCAATTTTAACTCGTCAATTAAGTTTGTCAAGTACATCTGAAATGCTTTTACTAAATCGTGATCTAATCAATTATAATTCACAGACTTCTAGTGAACCTTTAAATCCACACACCAGTATCACTAAAAATTGTTCCAATCCTATCAGTGTTGATCTTCAAACAACACATCAAATATCGTCCGCATCATTATCCACACCTCTTATTATTCCGGGTAATTCTTATGAAATTATTCTTTTGGCTGATGTTCGTGAAAATTTCGGGTAAGTTTCCATATGCTTCAAACGAAAATTGTTTATTATTGATAGTTAGTATTCATTCATAAACTTACCCAATTAAAAATTAATCAGCTGAATATTTATAAAGTTAAACGGTGAATGAGCTGATTTCAAAATTTGAATAATTAAAACTGTGTGTTAATTGAACGTAATTACACTTTACTATGAGTAGTTAAGCAGTTAAAGATTATCATCAGTCTACATAGTTCCACGTTGAGAATAAGCAGATGGATTGGGATTTAATAAAGACGCAAAGCATGAAAGTTGAAATAAAGAGTATTGTTATTTGGGAAACGAAACTTCAGAAATATAACTTGAAAAGACCCAATTCCTTTTAAAAAGACAAATGAGCCTGAGACAATAAAAAAACATGAACAGTCTTATGATATAATACTTGTACAATAACTAAGAATCTTACCTCTACAAACAGTTTAGCTCAAAAAACTTAGTAACACTGAAAGCATTCATCTGACCTATAAATCTGTTGTGGACGTTTGATCCCCAGAACTCACTTGATAAAGGCCTTAAATTTTGGATTTTATTCATGGACTGATCAGTTGACCTTGAGATCACATTTCCCACCAAGAAAATCCTTGGCTGTGATTGGTTGATGTGTTCTTTTAGTACGCTATTTTGTGGTTGATTGTCTCGTTATCGTTTAATCGACTAAGGTGAACTGGTAATAGTTTCAAGTATATCAGGTGATGAGCATAGCTAAATCTTTCACATTACTATCAACTTTAAAAGTTAAGCATCTGAAAAAATGAGATAAAGTTGAATTTGTACGCATTATCATAACCTATTTTGAAGCGTTGTCACTATTGATCACTAACTATTGATGATGGTTATCGCACAAACTTTAACCCGAAAAGTCAGCTATATTAGTAAATAAAGTTTTTCTATTAGAATACTGCAAGTATTTATTCTCGTTTAATGAGGTATATTTGTTGGTTTTAGCCGTTTAGTCTTACGATGTTGTTAGTAAATTACATTACTTTACTACAGTATGTTGTCAACAGTTAACCAGTAGTAAGTATATGGTATTCGGTTAAGGGCTTTTTAACATTGGACTATTAATCAGTGCATTTTATATTGCCCCAAGTCACCATACAACATTAACATAATGAAATAAATTTGTCGAAATGAATATCATTGTAAATATTATATATATATATATATATATATATATATATATATATATATATATATATAGAGAGAGAGAGAGAGAGAGAGAGAAAGCTGAAGGTTTCTTATGAGACCAGAGGTTTCTTGTAAACATTGTAAATGCTTTAGTATTACTTTGGCAAGTTTTGCAAATTTTCCATGTACAAATTTGTTTCCCATAGTTACCGATTTCATTGATACTGCTAGTGATCTTGCAACATTCCTGAAGGTCATTGTCATTGGGGTTGTTGTATTGCATATCGCTATCGCTAATAATAATGAGTTTGACAGTCATTTAAGCGGGATGGGTCTAATTGACCTGTTTATGCTGTGTATATTGATCAACGCAATCATGAGTCGGAAATAATCACTAAATGTATTGGTGTATATAAATGGGGTGTATGCTCCACCAGGGTGTCAGGTACCTCTGTGTTTGCGCCACAGGATTGAGCTGTGCTGTTCACGTTGTAGTGTTGACACGTGGGCAGAGTTTGGTTCTCCTAAAGACCAGTCTAACATTACCCTTGCTAATTGAGGTTGAATTTATATAATTGTGTGAATAATATATGATAGTTATGATTCAGTAACGTAGAACTTAGTACGTACGTACATCAGTTCAAGTTGCCATACTACATTAGCACAGAGATGTAATTGTCAATTTAAATCCCATAGTAGTACATGTAGTAAAGGTATTAGCAATATTCGGAGAGATTAGGGTTCGAAGATATTATTCAAAAAGTATAATTCAGTGAAATAAATTTAAAAAGAGAAAGATAAAGGTGATGAGGAATTCGGAATGTTAGAATTTCACAGAACGCAAAGAGTGTATGCACCTGCGCCATTGCAAACGATTCTGAGCCATGTCATTCAAGGTCTCTAAGCATTGGTGACTTTCGTCTCGCGGACCCCAACCATGTAGCCTACATCTACCAACATAACTGAGTCCACTTGTCAGTGACTTTATGGATTTGTGCCATGTTTTGGCTTTGTCGCCCCTAACTTTCTTCCAACCTACTCCTGCACCGTAAAATATATCTCGACGAGGTAGTCGGTGGTTGGGACATGTGTTACGTATGCCTAACCACCTCAACTGATGAAGTTTCAATACTTCATCTATTGATCTGCCATTCTTACCTAACATTCGTTTTCGAACGACAGCATTGCTTACTCAGTTGTCCCAGGATACACGAGCAACGCTTCGGAGATATCTATGATCGGAAACCAGTAACCTACGAATATCTTCTACTCTCACTGGCCATGTTTCATAACCATAAAGTAAGACGGAGCGAACCACTGCACAGTACACTCGTCCTTTAGTCAGCAAACGGACATCTCGCCAACGTCATTAGCGACACAGGTTGGTAAGAGCCAATCGAGCCTTCTGTATCCGAGCTGAGATTTCGTCACACACCAGGCGATCAGCAGTAATAATCTATTCATGCTTAGTTAAATAAATCTTGCCTTGTCAAATCAATATTTTCCTTCTGTTCTCTTCATTCACGTAGTCATATTACGAATATAATCTACGGTATCATCAATATAACCGAATTAAATCTTTATTTATAGTGAATGACAATTTCATTTGATACGTTCGTTTGTTTGTTTGTTTGCTTTTTTATTTCAAAAATAATTTCATCATTCATAAACTGATTATTTTTATTATTGTTCTCTTTAAATTATAAAATCAAAAAAAATCAAAATAATATAGATCAAACAAAGTAAGACAAATGCTTCCAATGGTATTTCAAAAATTTAATATTAAATGTGAATCAAGAGCATTACCAGTTGGAGATTTTCTATGGATTGCACGATGGCGTAATGAATCAAGTAAATTTTGTTATTTTTATTCAATTTTATTGTAATTATTATTTGACTGATATTATTAATTTTTTCCTATTTATTGTCTGGTATATTTCTTTGACCATGATTCTTTCACCGAACTCGTTTTAAATCCAAATTAGAATTGAAAGTGAACCTGGAAGCACTGGAAGGCTGTTTCGTCTTAGCATGGGACTCATCAGCATTGCCCATCCACGATCTCTGACTCAGGACCTTTGGCCTCGCAGGCGATTGCTTAACCTACAGACTACTGGGTCGGCATCCAAATGTGTCAATGTATAACTTTAATTGGGATCGTGAATACGCACTGATGATGAGTCTCACACTAGGATGAAACAGTCGTCCAGTACTTCCAGGTTTCTAATGTTGATCTAACAATGATCGATTCATTGTTTTCAATGAAACTTAACAATCTCCATAACTCGATAGTGAAAAACAATATATATATATATATATATATATATATATATATATATATATATATATATATATATATATATATATATTACAATAAACTTTGACAACAAAGATCCAGTACTATAATTTTTATAGATTGGTGAAAAAAACGAACTAACCATCGTACATAGATATAAATCTGATCAGACGATGCATTAGTCAGAACTCCTCATTCTTTGGTAATAAATCATAGTTTGTGAATGTTCTTCAAATTAGTATAATTGGTTTTGTATTTAGTGATTAAACTGTTTCTCATTTGATCAATCACCTAAATTTTAAGGAAATCGTTTTGAAAATTCGTTGTGTGTTATGTATCTGGACTGTTTTTCATTATACAGAAATTCGATTTTCAACATATTTTCACACCTTCGTAGCATCTGTTTGTTTAGTTGTTATCCTTACACTGATTGCACATTGACTTGAAGTTTATTATTCCCGAAATTCTTCAGTAGTTGTTCCTCAATCAAAAAATTTCAAAGTTTTCCTAATGAAGTTCTTGTTCACAGTTATCTGCTTTCAATGAAATCGAAGAAATAGATGCCTTTGTCTTCATATACTGCAACAAAAACTAGGAGTTAGATAAGATGATATGTTACTACTCAAATCACTGAACATACAGACAACCAGGGATATGAAATTAGTAAAACAAAAAGGTCAAATTCTTGGTAACTTGTAAAATTATCATAACATGAAATAGAGGTAATTGAAGCTGGCAAACTTCCCAAGATAATATTGTACAAGCAAGTTCATCAGAACAGACTAATATAACGCTTATAGATTATTTGATTGGAATGTTTTCCAGAATCACAATGAAAACTTTACAGACAGACAGACAGTCAGATACAACGCAGAACTTCGTACGCAAGTACATCAGTTCAGGTTGCCATATCACGTCAGCACAGAGAGTGATAGCGATTATAGAAGTATTAGCAGTAATGAAGAAGATTAGGGAGCGAAGATATGATTCGAGAAGTATAATTCAGTGAGATAAATTTAGAAGGACAAAGAAAGAGATGATGAGGAATTCAGAAGGTTAGACTTAAAAAGCACACAAAGAGTGGATGCACCTGCACCATCGCAAACGATTCTGAGCCATGTCGTTCAACGTCTCTAACTATTGGTGACTTTCGTCTCACGGAACCCAACCAGATAGTTCAGTCCACTTGTCAGTGACTGCATGGATTTGTACCATGTTTTGGTTTGGCCGCCCCTAGCTTACTTCAAAACCTACTCCTACACTGCAAAACATAGCTCATCGAGGCAGTCGGTGGTTAGGCATTCGTAACACATGTCCCAAGCACCTCAACTGATGAAATTTCACTACTTCATCTATTGAT